AGTAGATGTCCTAATGAAAATGATCTCTTGGTGAATTGATTTGTTCTTTCCTCATTGGTCAAGACTTAGGAATGGTTCCTTTATTGGACGTCGACCTAAGTATAAAAATGGCAATGATTTAATAGTGGAATTAGTCCATAATAATAAAAAGAAAATGAAATGAGGAAGTATGTCTTTTGAAATTAAATGATAAGATATGAAATGATATGTATGATATGTATGAATAGAGTTTTCTTTGAAAATGCTAGAAAATATTTTATGAACTAAAACTATGTTATGTTATGAATGATATGATTTTTCATGTAAATGCTTGAAATGTTTTTGGGTCTCAAACCCACGTAACTCACGAGATATTTTTATTTTACTTATATCTTTTTAATGCCACATATCTCATCTTATATTCAAAGTGAAAGATGATAGATGGAAGTAAACGGTATGAGATACATAATAGAGTGGAACTTGTTAAGTTCCTTACGTATTATATTGATGAAATTATTATATGTTTGTTATGGTTTGTATGATGCTTAATGATAACACCCCGATGTTTTAACTGTAAATGTTTCTATGGGACCGATTTTTGTTAAATGTAGGTTAATACCCATAATGATGCTGTTAAAACCAAAGCATTTCAAATTTTGAAAAAGTTGTAAAATTTCAGGTGTTATAATAATACAATGTTTTTTTTAAATTAAGTTATTTCATGGTTTTACATATTTACAATATTTTCACCGTGTATTTTTTAAAGACTTTTCAAATATTTTGTTAAAACCAAAGCGTTTTAAAGTTTGAAAAAGTTTGTAAAATTTCGAATGTTATAATGACACAATGTTTTTTTAATGAAGCTGTCTCACCTTTTTACATATTTACAATACTTCCGTATTTTTTAAGATTTTTTCAAATGTTAGTCCTTACTTTCCTCATGAAATATATATATATATATATATATATATATATATATATATATATATATATATATATATATATATGGGTAAAGTGAATATACCTAACAACCTTATATAAGCTTAGGTACCTAACTCCATAATACTACATCGGTTTGTATCATAATTACATTGTAATTGCCTAAGGTTCTTTAACTTCAACCCCATAACTTGATTACTTCCAAAATTTTTGGACTTTCACCAATATCTTTCTTTTACATCACGTCTTTCTATTGAATACCACCTAATGGGCTTCATATTATACCGCTACAAATGAAAATTTCTAGATCGTATCATATTTACATTGTAATTACCTAAGGTTCTTAAACTTCAATCTCATAACTTTATTACTTCCAAAATCTTTAGACTTTCACCAATATCTTTCTTTTACATCACGTATTTGTATCGAATACCGCCTGATAGGCTTCATATCCTACCACTACAAATGAAATGATGTAGGAGAAATATAATAATGAATTTCCAAATTTTTTTTGAAGTAAATCAAGTTTATGGATAAAGTTTAAGAACCTTTCATGATTGCAATGAAAATTTAATGCAAAATGACCTAGTTTGATGAGGTTAGGTACCTAAGCTTATATAAGGTTGTTAGGTATATTCACTTTACCCATATATATATATACATATATATATATATATATATATATATATATATATATATATATATATATATATATATATAATCACAATGACCTTCGCAGCAATAGTAATTTTTTTGACTTTTAGGTAGTTGTTACAAATCTTTGTTGAATTTGACATTTTTCGTCCCTAAAATCAAAACTTTTATATTTTTGCGATTCGATTAAGTTTTTGTGTTTTTAGGTTTTAGCCACAAATCTTTAGTGACTTTGACACTTTTAGTCCTTGCAGTCAAAAGTTTTACATTTTGATGTTTTTGCCACAAATCTTTAATGAATTTGATACTTTTCGTCCTTGTACTCAAAATTTTTACATTTTGACATAAAAAACATGAAAACCTCATTATGAATTTTGTCACAGTATTCTTCCAACTTTGTCAACTTTAACATTATTACCACAATATTTTTGAATTTTCTTCATCAGTGTTTTTTTTGTTGTACACTTTTGACATCTAATTTTAGGGGTTGTCGACTTTGACCCCTGTTTATGGTGTTTTACAATTTCAGCATATATCTTTTAAAGTTTGCCGATTTTTCCTATATTACCCCCAAAAACCGTGTAACCGTGGATTCTTTACTAGTTTTCCATAAAGAACATAAGTACACACATTTGAAAATCTTCAAAAGACACAGTGGAAATTGTGTAAATGTGTAAAAACACACTACCTAATTCAAAAAAGAAAAAGGAAAAATAAATAAATAAATAGTTTGCATTTTAGTAATTATATCGACATGTAAGTGCTCCCATGCATTTGCAAGGACCGTGCATTCATAGAAAATAATTTTTTTCAGGGAAATTTGTATGAAAGTCTTTATATTTATATTTGGTATTAATAAAATTCTAAATTTTTTTTAATAGAAAAGTTTCAATACTTTTTGAATAGAAAAACCAAAGAAATTGGCAAATTTATTCATTTTAACCCTTTTGACTTGTTCAGTTGGTCATACGACCAAATCGTTAATTTTTCCAAAATTATGAGACTTTTCTGCAGATTTAATCAAAATTTGTATATATTATATAAACGTATTTTTTACATATTTATATCTATTTTTACGTATTTATATATTTTTAAGATTTTATATGTATATATTTACGTATTTTTATGAATTTTAAATGTATAAACATATACATATAAAACTTAAAAATACATAAATATGTATACATAAAAAAAAATACATTTATACATTATATACAAGTTAATCTGCAAAAAAATCTCTTTATTTTGAAAAAATGAACAATTTAGTTCTATGACATGCTGAACATGCCAAAAATGCTAAAGTAAATAAATTAACCAGTTTTTTAGGTTTTTCTATACAAAAAATTAAAAAGTCTTGAGGTTTTGTTCAACAAAATAAAATTTAAGAATTTATTAATAAACTTTAAAATATTGAGATTTTTCTGAAGATTTTTTTTTATCAATATGTATATAGTTTAATAGAGCATAAAAAGTATAAATGTTGACATATTTATTTATCTTTTTGAATAAAATAAACTCGAAATGCCTACAATGGCGCATTTATTAAAAAGTGTATCTTTTTATATCATTTAATAGATCATACAAATATATAAATGTTTGATATATTTATTTGTCTTTTCAGAATGAAATAAAGCTGAAATGCACAAACGCATTTGCATTCAATATATATATATATATATATATATATATATATATATATATATATATATATATATATATATATATATATATATATGTTCAGGTTCATTTGAGACTATTCTAATTTTGTGAGACCGTGAGACCAAATCTAAAAATAATTTTAAAATGCAAAATAAATGGAAAAATCCAAAAATTCTTTTTTTAAATATTATTTTCGGAACTTGAATTAACTAAAAAAAATTTAAAAAAATAAAAAAAATTCCGTTTTTATTTTTGAAAAATACGTGAAATATTCTAAATAGAATATTACACTGACATATTCTAAAAAATAATTTTAAAATGCAAAATAAATGAAAAAATCTAAAAATTCTTTTTTTAAATATTATTTTCGAAACTTGAATTAACTAAAAAAAAATAAAATAAAAAAAAATCTATTTTTTTTGAAAAATACGTGAAATATTCTAAATAAAATATTACACTGTACATATTCTAAAAATAATTTTAAAATGCAAAATAAATGGAAAAATCAAAAAATTCTTTTTTTAAATATTATTTTCGGAACATGAATTAACTAAAAAAAATAAAAAAATGCGTCTCACGGTCTCACAAAATATAGGTGGTCTCAAATGAACCTAACCATATATATATATATATATATATATATATATATATATATATATATATATACCATTTAATAGAACATAAAAAAATATATATGTTGTTATATGCATTTATAGTAAAAACTAGTAAATGGTATACATATTGACAAAAAAAAAAAAAAGCTAAATGTTTTATGAATGTGTGAATGCATGAAAATACACCAATGCATTTACATGTTGATATAATTAATTAATTACGAAATGCCACTGTTTTTTTAAATTAAGTTTTGTTATTTTCACATATTGGATTATTCAAAATGTATTGCTAAAACTGTCCGCACTTCTCATGGTCTTCACGAAAATGCAACCTCGTCACCTGAGTAAAACCTCGATTTGGTTTGAAACCTTTCCAAAATAATTCATACGGTTGTAGTAAATCCCAGACATTTTGTCTATTAGGTAAACTGATATTGGATAAATCTGCTAATTGGATGAATGTATAAGATTTGAAGTTTATGTATAAGATTGGGTTCAAGAAAATGGTATGAAATACAAGAGCTATATGTAATCAAAATAATATGTGAACAACATCAATGGTGATTTATTTCATATATGGCGAGTATTTGCAAAAGTTGTGAAATTGAGATACAAAGACAATCCAGTATGATTATGATATATAGTTTTTATACTTTCCGGCATTGCACATGTGTGTGTGTTTGTTTGGTCAAATAAGATATAACAGTAAATATTATATGGGTATGGCATAAAGCATACATTAACCATATATTGCATGACGTAGTGTAAAAAAGCGAGATTTGAAATCTTACTTGCATGTGGACATTGACTTAATTTCTCAATTTTCCCTAAAGTAAGCGACACATCACACAACGTTCAATGGTGACTTCATGAAATATTTGCTCCTATACTAGTGTGTAGTCATAGTGAGCTCAATCAATTGGTTATGGGACCACCCACCAATATAGAATACTTGTTTATGTGCCAAAATTGAAACCGATTGGTGAATAAAAATTAATATTTCGAATATTTTAAAGATTGAAGAATGTGGATGATATTGATATTGATATGGCATGCTTTTATCATTATAAAGATTCAAAAATAAATTAAATTATTCGTCTGCCAAGTGCGAACACCATCCCCAACTCAAACTACAATAAACATATGCAGAAAAAAAAAAAAAATCCCAAAAAAATCATGTATCTCTTTTTTTTTTTTTTTTCTTGTCACAAATAAATCAAAGAGCATACACTCAAATACTAAAGACCTTCTTATCCGATATTTGTAAACATTAATAAAAAAATATACACTTGTACACAAATGACAAAACTTACCTCACCCCCTCCCGCCATTGCCATGGCGCTGGTTTCTAAAGAAGCTAAGCAGCGATTGAGCCTGCAAGATAACAATTTCATCATGTCAAATAAATAAACAAACTTGAATTAATCGATATCGGAAAAAAATAAAAATAAATAATAATAATAATAATAATAAATCACCTTTTCCTTGGCTCTCGGTGTACCGGACTGTGACAGAGCCACCAACGGCGGAACTGCTCCTTCCTGAAGAACAGTGTTACAAAACCGACTGCTATTTGTACAGAGTTGCAGAAGGGCGGCGGCGGCATTCTCCTTCCCTCGAGCCGAACCTAATTCAACCACTTCAACAAGCATCGGAATACCACCTTCCTGACCAATGGCGGCTCTACCCTCCGGGAGAGTCGCAAGATTCGATAGAACCGCCACCGCCTTGTCAACCATACCACCGGCGGGATCCATTAGCTCTACGAGGTACTTCACCGCTCCCGCCTGCACAATACGCGCCTTGTTTTCGTGAAATATTGATAGATTGAACAATGCGGTGGCTGCGTCCTTCTTCCCTCTCGGAGTTCCGTGCCCTAATAAATCAACCAGAGGTCCGATCGCTCCAGACCTCCCGATTCGTATCTTGTTATCTTCGATTACCGAGAGACTGAACAGTGTCGCGGCGGAATTCTCCTTCGCCTCTGAGCTTCCGGTCTCGAGGACGTGAATCAGAGGTTCAATCGCGTCGGCGTTGGCGATGGCGGCTTTGTTGATGTCGTTGATTGATAAGTTCAGAAGTGCGGTGACGGAATTTTCCTGGACTTTTTGGTCCGGCGAATATAAGAGGCCGATTAACAAGGTTATAGCACCACAGTTTGCTATCACGATTCGATTATCCATATTATGTCTCGCAAGTAACCTGAGTTCACCGGTGGCGGTCCTGACTGTATCAATGGAAGCGCTGCTCAAGTCATTGACGAATTTCTTCACCTGCGTTTCGAGTTCCGTGAGATCAGGTCTCGCTTCAGTAGCAGAAGAAACAACTCTCGGCCCAAAAGATGATCTCCGCCATATTTGGTTTCGTGCTCTGTTTCCAAATCGAGGTGAAACTGCATGCCGGGAAGCAGCAATGGCAGCCTGAGGCTCTGCCGCCAGCTCCCCTGAAGCATCACTGTTGTAAGCGGTTGCCGGAGTTGAAGAAGACGACTCAATTGCAGGTGCCTCCGGTGGTGATCCTTCATCCACTCCAGAAGGTCCAGGTCCACCGGAATCCAAACTTTTCTCACCCGATTCAACCGTATTAAACTCATTCCCCTTTCCAGAATCTTCTGAAGATGAGTGAACATGACGATGCACTGGAGAAGAAGCTTCTTCCTGATGGATTCCATTCGATCTAGGTGAAGTAGGTTGATTCAAGGTTAACCTTAATGGCTGCTTTACAGGATCTGGGAGTTTAACATTGTGGGATTCACACCAATTAGCAATCAATGCTTTCACAGTGTAATTAGGAATCAAATTATTATGAACAAGAGTTTGCATTGTTTTAGGGCAAACATTGAGTCCTAGATCAATCCAATTACGAATATACCCCCGCTCATATGTCTGCCCAGAAGCTACAATCACAGGGTCTGTCATCAATTCAAGTGACAGTGGACAACAGAAGTCTGGAGGAATTGGAACAGGGTTAGAGCTTTCTGATTGTTTCATTTCCACAAAGCAATCATGCATGTGTGTAACAAGAGCAATCATCTCTTCAATATACTCCAAATCCCCAATCTTTTCTGCTTGTTCAGCATTCTCCTTCAAGTTTTCAAGTGCAACAGCTTCGATTAGAAGTTCTTGATTTGTTCTTAAGCTTAACAAATCAGCAATTTTTGATCTAGTTTCTGAGCTGGGATCAGATCCCTCCACTTGTTCTCTTATAGCTTGTAAGACTATAGCTGATGGCTTTTCATATCCCATATGCTTCATTTTCTGAATGCAAATTTATAATTAGTTCAAGAACATAAAACTTTAAACTAGAATGATAAAGGTAAAGGTACCTCAAGAGATGATGAATTTAGTTCACAAGATGATTGAAGAAGCTCAAAGATCTCCAAGCAATGTGTTTGGACTTTTGTAAACAATGATTCGGCTTTCAAAACCTTTAGAATACAAAAAAGAGATTGGATTATAACTTATAACTTATAAACTCTGATTGTGTTTTCAGAATATTGAAGCTTTGAAGTGTTGGGTGTTGAAACATACAAAGTAAACTTTACTCATCAATGGATGACAATCTTCAAAGAGCTCCTTTAGTTCATCAACAGATTGACTCATGTCAGTAAATTCATTCTGTAGTTGTTGTTCATCTGAAGCCACTGGTGTACTGATAATAGACTCGAGTATTGGTTTAATCAACTTGAGTAGTTCTTCAATGGTGGTGTAGTACTTTTCAACAATTTCACAGCATAATCCATTATCAAGGGGTGACAGATGAAGAAAACTAGAAATGTTTTTTACAAGTGTTTTCAGTAGTGATATCTCCATCACACCTGTGTAAAGAAATAACCAATCATTCATTAATAAATTTATTGATAAGCTCATGAGTGTTTATATTAGTTGTAAAGGGCAAACAGCAAACTATTATCCAGAAATAACGTAAACACAAACAACACCAACTAACCTATTTCTGCAAACTTGTGATTTGTGATTTGATATGATCTTGCTCACATTGGTGATCCCTATAGAATCCAAATTCCAGTGGTGAAATCCTTTGGATTTTTTGATAGAACTGAGAGGTTTGATTATACCTTGCACACTGTGGATTAAAAATTCAAAAGGAAGTGAGATCAATGATGGCGAATGAAATTCCTAAATCCTAACATCATGATATGCTAATTATATGTGTGAATCAACTCAATTGGGGAAAGGAATTACAGTTCGGTTCTAGTTCTACTACAAACTGTGTAAAAAAGCAATTGCAGATTATAACATGAAAGCCTCATCCAAATTAACGCAATCAAAACCTAAAAAATCAAATTAAACATGATTCGACCAAATTCGACTTACGCGTGTGATCTCAAACCATGAGAATGAAGTCTATATAGGAATTGAAGGTATTAGTGCTCGATTCCGAATATATAAACGCGCGAGGAATAAGAAACGTTCAATAGCAGGTTTTCAATTGACCAAACATCAACTGAAAACGCGTCAAGTAGAACCATTGAATTAGTCCAACAGAAATCAAGAACAGTGATATGGAACCCTAGAAAGAGAAGATCAGCAGAAAATGAAGAGAATAAGAGCTCACCTGGAGGACTATCGGCCGACTTTTGGTTGATACTAGTTTGATGAAATTGAATTGAAATTGATTCCTATAATTTCTGAAGAGATGATTGTTCCAGTTGTGATTGGCTCTTTATTTCATTTTCGTTATGATTTTAATTTGTCTCGTCATCATTCGACCGCTGTTTTTCTACTATTTTTGACAAATTTAATATTTTTTTAACACATGGCTCGCATGTTCACAACTAGACTCGATAAACCAGTATATTTTTGTAACTAGGCTCGTTTCATGTTTCATGTTTCATGTTGAGTTGAAATATTAAACTAGTCGGTTATTTTAATCTTTTTAGTTATTATGTTTTATGGTCTTAATTCGTTTATTTTTGTATAAAGTATGTATTGTGTTAGACGGTTAGAGTTTAGACTTTTTACATGTGTTGTGCACTATCGGGTCAAAAGATTTAAAAAGTTTGAAAGAGTAGAATGGAAAGAAAAAAGAGTTGAGAGAAGGAGAAATCTATAGTAAGTTTGAAGAGGCAAAGCCAAAAAAATAGAAATTGTGGAGGTAAAAGGGTAAGGGGATAAAAAGGAGGAGTATCTCAAGCATAATTAATAAATAATTAAAAAAAATCTTATCTTTCTACTTAATAAAAGAATAGTTATTATATCACATGTTAATCTTATAGAGTATCTCAGACCATGTGTTAATTTACAGAGCAATCTCAGGGTTTTTTTCTTGCATAGTGAAATTCCTTCATAAATTACAATTATAACTACACTTGTGATTTGAATTCAAGTCTCACCGTAGTTAAAGCATCATAATCAACAATATAATCCTTCCTAAAATTCAAATTGATTTGTTAGTTGGATTTTATGGTATTAATTTTGAAATTCAAATTGTATGGTGAAAATCTTATCTTTATATTATGGCTTGTACTTGAGCCATACTCCACTGTGCTCATGGTTATGCTAGCTTGGTTTCGGGTATTCTTTGACCCTCCCTTCTTACTCCCTAGGTTCGGTAATCTAGTTTCATTTTCCATAGTTTAGGAAGATTCATAATATATCTTATAAGGATTAGTAAACTTGTGAACGATATCAATGTATTTCTTATTCTATATTTTTTTAGGATTTTCTTTTTGTTTTAAGGCTGAATCTAATTATATGAATAAGATTATATCATTCTTTGTAATATAAAATAATTTCGTAAACTCTTGATGTTAGAGTGGTTCTTTTTAGCTGGCTTAATGGTGATACAAATGTGATTGTCTTGTTTATGGACCAAAATCTAGAACGGGGAAGAATGAAAACCCTAGAAAAGATTACATTAAAGTCATCTGAAAGCCAAAAATCGGGCAGAGTTGTAAGTTTTTTCTAATTAATGCATCTGTAATGTATATGATGCCTTTTGTATTTCTTCCATGGTGCTCATTTTTAAATAAAAAATTTACTACTACTTGAATATAGAATAAATACTAATATGTTACACAACTATGATAAAATTTAGTTAAACTAGACAAATAGGGAGTATGAGATGGTAATGAAGAAGACCTTACAGAGTGTGTGCTTTTTGTGTGTTGCACAAAACATAATAGCATTTTACTTTCACAAATCCCTATAAATGTTAAAGAAAACTTAAAAATTGATATATTCTTGGGTTGGACTTGGAAGTCCCTCGTGCGTGCCTAAAGAATCAAACATGCTAAGGGGCGAATTGCACCAACTATTGACCTACTTGGTTCCATGGAGAATACATAGGTTTGGAACTTTTGTGCTATACTTTTATATAATAATTTGAATGTGGTTAATCACATGGTAAAAATGAAGATGTGAATTTGCATAGGTTAAAATCAAGACCAATGACTAAATTAAGTGCATTAGAAATTTAATGCCACTTGTTTGCTCTTAAACTGAAAAGTTGGTGAATTACAAGGGCAACATCTTGCTGGAATTCTTGAACAAAGAATTCCAAAATTTATGTTCTATTTAGAATGAAGGGACGATGTAGCTGAAATCCTGGAACTAGAGTTTATGATGATGAATAAGAGTGATTTATGTTCTTAACTCAAGAAAGAAAAGAGCAATTAAGAAAATTCATGCAAAGAATTGTAGGACCTCTACAATAGGTATACACAGATATTCTCTTTTCTTACTAGAATACAACATTCTTTGCTCTCAAAATGGCCATTGTTTTCTTTTATGGTTCTCCAGGCATATTATATATATATATATATATATATATATATATATATATATATATATATATATATATATATATATATTTAGTGGCTATCATTGATTTGAAAAAAAAAATATTGTTTGCTTTATACACTACATGTTTTTGCTTTTATTACTTTTGTTTGTGAAATGTTAAAGTTATCACAAGTTTTTAGATAAGGGCCTATGATCTATTTGAGGTATATTATTTATTATTTAGTTTTTCTTTTATGTCTCTTTAAATTTATTACAATAAGTGTTTAGATAAGGGTTTCGAGACGTCTTCAAGATTGTGCAGGCTAAGAAAACACCACGTAAAGTTTATGCACAAATAAAACATACGGGTGATAAAGGATATTGGTTGTGGCTATTCGATAAAAATGTTCATGGTATTGAAAACATTTACTTAAGTTTGGTTGAACTTAAACTTACTTTAATACATAATTTGAATCTAAAGTTACTTACATAAATTTAACAATTATTAGTTTAATAAATGGTTTAGAAATACCTACCTAAGTAATTGGAGTATCATAATGCTAATTTAATACTTTAAACCAATTGATTATATCGATAATAACATTTACATTACAACAAATTTAGATCGGTTTATTTGAAAACCATATAACATTTTTATTTGTAAGAAACAAAGATAATACTCCAAATAATTCATCTTAGAAAATCCAATGATAGAATTCAATATTCAAGCAATTCAAGTCAAGATCTAATATATGTTTACTCAGTTTTTTAATAGATCCATTTTAATATACATGAACCCAAAGTAAGGAACTAAATTTGTAATTTATTTGTTTTCATCCAATTATTTTTTATATTGTTAGTGTTTGTTTTTATCTTTAGCTTATTAATTAATAGAACATTAGTTTTTAAAAGTACAATTATTCAATCACATTCCTTTCTTATTCAATCTGTTATGTAAACTAATCAATAAAAATACATTGCTATTGACATATGATTTTTTTAGATTTCTATTGATTTTTTATCTTTCCTTTTGCACATATAGTAAGTGATTAGCATTTCAATTTCTTTTCTAATTAAGACATTGTACTTTTGAAATTCTACTAATAATACCATTGTACTACCATGTTTAATTGTGGCCATGTTCACTCTATATGTTATTTTACATTGTAAAAACATGAATTTATAAAAATATGTGATTGATGATTATTATTTTTATATACTCTGTATGTTATTTTACTTTATCAACCGTGGATTCAACTGGTTATAACCTAATATATAAATAAACGGGTCATTTTCAAATATAAATTCCCAACCATAACCTTACCTGTTTAAATTTCGACTTGTGTCATTTCAACTTGTTTAATTAACGAGTTGAAATCTTTTACTCAAACTCTTATATTTTATGGTGGGTTAACGTATTGTGTTTGTTTTTCTCTTCTATTCACAACAATCCCAATATTATAAGTCAATGTTTTTTCCTTTATTTATATTATTGATTATAAGTAGAGTTTTGCATAATTTAGATATTGGGATATTCACAAAAAAAATTCACCATGGTGGATAAAGGAATAATACGAAATGACCAACTATTTAGCAATTTGCAAAAATAATATTTAAGTCTTAAAAGCTACATTTCGGAGTGGTAAATCAATGTTAGATTCTAACATCAAACATTGCATCTAAAACCTTAATTAATCATTTGGTAGAGGTTTGAGTTTTCAAACCCTAGACAATTAGAGAAATCCAATTTTCATCATAATTGTTCTATGTTTTGTGTATGTTTCAATGCTAAAAACTTGCTTTAAATCATTAATGTATCATCATTACATTTTTGAATTGGTTGATTTTCATCTCTAATGAAGGAATTAGGGATTTGGAACCTTGAATTGATGAGAAGTTTTATCTAGCCATTAAAATTTATACATAATCTTAGCTTCATGATTTTTAAAATCAAATATATGATCCTAAGGTTAAGGATAGATTGACTATGATCTTTATGATTTTCTTATTATATTTTTCCAATAGATCTTATGGAAATATGAGCTTAATTATTGGTTACAATGGAATCCACCATTGGAATAGAATAAAATGATATCTAAGTTAAGTTATGCCACAAATGTGTTTTGATCCTATCAAAGGATCTATGGAAAGTTTTGATCCGATCATGTTAATAGGGTCATTTATGATCATTTATGATATCTAAGTTAAGTCATGTTACAAATGTGTTTTGATATGATCAAAGGATATATGGAAATAAACTATTAAATATTTGGATTGCTTGAAAATGAACTAAATAATAACTTGAGCTCACAATAACTATAAATGGATCTAGGCATCTCAAATCCATTATTACGATTAAAATCATGTAAAAAAATGAATGGAAATATGAAATGAGGGTTGGAATTGGAATAAATTGCATCTTTAAAATCATGTTTTTTTTAACAACCTTTAAAATCATGTTAATAGAGTCTTTTATGATCATTAAGCTATACAACAAAAATCTAAACATAATAACAAAGTCATTAAGGACTTAATGTCACAGACCAACTTTATGGATGTTTCTAGGCCCATCTAAAAAACATGGGAACGATCAAGAATGGTCGTGAAGATTTTGGAAAAATCTAGGTCGCACTAGAAGACTTCAGAAAATTATAGAATGATCCGAAAGACAATGGAAGATTCTAGAACCCCCTGGAAGACATTGGAAGGATCTAGAGTATCCAAGAAGATATTGGAATGTTATAGAGCATAATGGAAGTCCCTGGAAGATTGTAGAACATCATGGAAGCCCCTAGAAGAGTATGGAACATTCTAGAACACATTAGAAGACTCGAGAACGTCCTACACATATCTAGGACACCGAAGAACATTGTAAAACCTTGTAGATAGATATAGAGAATGTAAGAATACTCTATAATAGTCATGTATAGTATGGAAGTATAGAAACTTCCTAAGAGGAGACGTGAGTCATCTATAAATAGGTGTAGGGCTCATTTTCTCAAAACCATCGAGAAGCCCCCTTGTAAAGAAGTTGGGGTTCTATAATACAAGCTTTCTTTTCGTACCTTGAAGTGTTCCATATCGTGTTTCTTTCTTTCCAAGTTCGTTAGTACATTATAAGGATGGAAGTTAGCCTAACTTAATTGAGATAAACTAAGTGGCACGCAAGATAGACTAGTTGCAAGAGCCATCCCGTGACAAAGCTTCAAAATAAAGATTGATGTCTTTGTGAGTACACCTTTAAACTCATTTAGTGGTTAAGATATGAATGAAATATGGTTTTAATGAATTTCAAAAGATGTTATTAAACCTCATTAGAATCATTAGAACCAATTAGATAGGTTATAGAAGGATTAAGAGCCAAAATGAGCAAAGTATAATGGCTTAATGTGATTTTTTATACTTCGGGTGTGTACAGAAGGATTCACACATGTCATGTATGGATATGCTAAAAATATACGGGTCGAGTGTTAAAATTTCCAACTCAATTCATATTTTCATAACTTGTTCGGTTCTCATTTGGTCACCTAATTAGTCCTTATATGTGTATTAAGGAATGGTTAAATGTTTTAATAACCTAGGATGAATTTGATATATAATATCTTTCAGTTATGGGAAAACATGAGAGTAATATTCCATGTATATGTATACGGAAGGATTAGAGACATATCTATTGTGAGTAGAAGCAGAAAATGAGTTATATACATGGATAAGTTTAGTAAATCTGAGTACATGTACTTATTATTTATTTGA